GCTCCGCGTCGCCGCGGGCTGCTGCCCCGGCAGGTTGCACGACCGAGCAGCCGGAAAGAGCGCCCGGGAGCCCTCGGGCAGCTTACGGAGGCTAAGACCTGTTGATGCCGGCGATGGCAGTGCTCGGTGAGGTCAGGCGTCCTGGAGCCTCTGTTTTCGTCGGTGTGCGTGCGTGTGTGCTAAGTTTGGGGGGCCGGTGCACGGGAGCTGGGAGGAGGTGGTGGAGAGTCAGGGGACTGGACGCGGCCAAGCCGGCAAAAGTCATCGCTGGGTCCCCCGAGAGGCGACCGGAGAGCGAACTTCTTCCAGCCCGGCTTCCTATTGTTGGCCCCGGGGATGGGGGTGAGGGGGGGGGCGCGGGGCTCCGAGGCCCGGCGGCGGCGGCGGAGACTTTTAAAGCCCCGCGCGGGTTGGGCCCGCGCTCAGGGGCGGTGTCCACATGGCTAGCTAGCCCTCCGGCCGGGCGAGCGCAGCGGCTCTTTTTGGAGGGCGCCGCGTTGCGAGGGGCGCGGGGTACACGGAGGGGGGGGCGGGTGACCTGGAGTCCCGCGTCCCGTGGCGAAGCTCGCTGGCCCGGGTTCCCCTCCCCGCCCCTCGTGGCTTCGCTGTACGGATCAGAGAAGCAGGGGCAGTCCGAACTCAGGTAATCCCGGGCTGCGGCGGGAGGGAAGTCTGGGCAGGCTGGTTTTCTTGGAATGTGTTTACAATGTTGAATGGGACTTGAACGGGGAAAGCTGGACGCGGCAGCTGGAAACCTCGTGCCGAGGCGGAGTAAGGAAGACGTAGCTGGTGTTGGGCTTGGCGCGTCCACTTGGTAAGCGTTGGATAAATTCCAAGTGAAAGACGGTCAAGGCATCTCTCTCTCTCTCTCCTCTCTCTCTCTCTCTCTCTCTGGATGGTATTATTATTGTTGTTATTGTTATTATAATTGTTGTTGCTATTCCCAACAAAGCTTTTGCCTTTCCTTTGCAATCAGACGTTGACGGGCACTCATTAACTTTACAGGTTTGGCAGAATGTGACATAATTAGGAAAGACATCATAAGTTTGTTTGAGCTTGCTTTTTAAAAAAGATTGCACCAACATGTGAGAATACCAAGTTTTGTGGAGCTTTCTCGTTACCATGGTTAATTTGTAGAGCTTGCAGGGGACTGAGATACTTGATGATTCTGTGTAATGCCTCATGGGTGATTAGGTCCTAAAAGACGGAAGATTAGGAGACCCAGTGAATGTCAGGGGGTTAGGAAACTCTGTGAAGAACTGGACATTTTTCAGATTTGCAAATTGCCAACTTTCTCTGCCAGTCTTTTCTCTCCCCCACTACCCCCCCACCCTCACATAAACAAGTAGCCTTGCTAGAAAACTCCTCAGTTGTGAGCATGCAGTCGCTGGTGATTACAAGCAATACTGAAAAAAACAGCGGCCAGACTAAGGTACTGCTCCATTGCATAATTAAAAGGTCTCCTTGAGCTGTCCAGGAGTATTTTCCAAGTTTTTTACGAGTGACAAGGAAAGAAGAGAGGAAGCTGGCAAGCAGCCAAACTCAACTGAGCTCAGTAGCCAGGCATGAAAGAGACTTGGGGAAGTTGGAGGGGATAATTGGAAAGGGGCTGTTGGTTGTACTTGGCCTTAAGTAAGGGGTTTCTTCTGCAGTGAGAATTTTTGGGTGACTAAGATCAGTCTTCTTGGCCAAAACCCAACAAAACAAAACAAAACCCCAGTTGGATATAACTAAGGAGAGTGAGGAAGAAAGGCTAGAGGAGGAAAGTCTGACCCTTCCTTATCAGCCTAGCCTCCCTATGGAAGAGCCCGGGCCTGATGCTGTTTGTGTGGATGTACTTTGCCAAAGCCCACACTTTGTTGCTATCTGTCTCCTAGATTTGGACTCTGTGTGCTGAAACTTCAGCCCTTTGACCTTGACCTTGCTTCTTTGTTTTCATGGTCAGTGAGAACTGAAGACCTGGGATGCCAGCAGATGATTTTCCACCGAAATCGAATAACTCAATTGGGTATTCTCAAAGAGCATAGATATAGGCCATACAATTAAAGTAGAAAAATATTGCAACTTACATATCCACATTGTGTTACAGAAGGCATCCCAATACATGGATGCTGACTTGGCTCTTCTAACTGAAGTATAATTTAGAGTAATCTCTGTTGTTAATGGCTTACCACTTCGTAATACCAAGATTTAAAATCTTTGCTGCCACTTAGACTCTACTTTTGTTAAAGTTGTTTTTATTTTAGCTTTTTTTTTTTTCAGGGGTTTTGGTCTACTTCCATGGGCATGGGAGTTTGTGGCTTTTATTTCTTGTGGTTTGTACTTCTTTGTGAATTTGAGGTTGTGGGACTGTCAGCTGGCTCTGTGAAATTGTCTTTATGAATCACAGTGCAAAGTGTTTCTGACTGAGATTTCACTTTCCCACTTCCACAGTGAAGAAACAAACTTTCTTTCAGAATTGAAAAGTAGAAATAATGTTAGCAGGCTTTTAGAGATAAAGGTGATAGTGCTTCTGACTCAGCTGGCCCAGTTGAATATATGAGCATAAAATAGGAATGTATTTATCTAGAATATAATGTAATAACATCTCATAATTTTCAAAAAATATGATTTTTCACACTTCAATCATAATGATAAATTTTTCTTTTCAAAAATATTGGGGGAGTTTTTTTATAGTTATAGTTGAGTCTTTTTATTTAAAGAGAAAAGATCAGCAAACTCATCATTTTTATTTTACTTTATATTTATGTTCATGACCAGTTTTCTTTAGGTTTAGCTCAATTTTGCCTTTATGAAAAGTTTACACATATATTTGTAGAACTTGGTTCCCTTCTTAGAAAGAATGCTCGAGATGTAAGCTTTATGATGTAAGCTTTCTTTTCCTTATAGCCACATAATTTTCTTAATAGTTTGAATAATTTCCAACAACATTTATTGCACACCTACGAAGAGCCATTTGCCCTGTGTTTTATTTCCAGTGCTTGACTTCTCTGCTGTACACATTTCCATATGTTATTTTACCTTTCAAACACCTTACCTGGATATGTCATTTGTTGTTTATGTGCCTGTATGTATTTGATGAACTAATTCTTGATCCATTAATGATACTTGTGAACTCTTTAGTGTTTAGTTTCACATGTCCAGCAGTGCTATTTTTGTAGTTCAATATACTACACTGCATTTTTCTTTCAGAGCAGTAGGTCAATTTAAAAGAAAACAGACTGAGTATCCATCAGTTTATTAAGCAATAACATCTGCAGCACAATGCTTAATAGCTTCTTATTTTACATTTTCTGTGATCAAAAATAATAAACATATAAAAATAGGAGTAAATGGAAGTAAGTGGTTGTTGTAGTTGAGCTAGTACTGTAACGTATTCTTATGAATTACTAGAGAATATTCAGAATATATATGCATGCATATACTAGTCGTTTTAATGTCAAAGACCTCTTTTTTCTTTAAAAACCCCTTTTCCCATTGCTGAATGGAAAAGGTGATTTTTATTTAAATTTGACTTTGTGGAGTGATATGTGTTTGTGATTTGAAGTGCACTATTACAATGTGTCTTCTGAAACCTCTACAGGATAAGGGAATTATTTTATTTGAATGTAATAATGAATTCAGAGATAGTCACAGAAGCCAGTTGTGTGGTTGGCTGCCTTGAGCTCTGGTCCCTAAACATATTAGAGGCTGGTGTCAGGAAGCTTAAGTTTGTTCCTATGGGAGCCTAAAATATATTCAAATTCGAAGAAGAGAAATTATATAAACTTAGAACATAGAAATCCTTTTGCTTCCAAACACTCAAGATAAGGCATTGGGATTTAGACCTTTAATTTTAAGGAGAATGGCTCCCAATTTTTCTTCCAGAAGAAGACTCAGAAAACAACACTTAATCTTTTCAGGCTCTCTTATTTGCTAATTTTGTTAGTTCGATTTTGTTTTTTGTTTTTGCTGAGAAAATGTTTTCAGCAATTCTAATGATGCTTGCTTGCTATGCCTGATTATTTTTCATCAGAACACAGTTAATGACTCAATTTGAGCTCAATAAGTCCCCATTTCCTGCTTACTTCAAAATAGTATAGTTTGTGGTAAGCCTGAAATTGATTTTCTCTTTCAGTATTGTGTACTAAAGAATAGTTGGGGATCCAGAAGCCCGTGGCTGTAATCCGCTAATCAGGAGGCTGAGATCTGAGAATAGAGGTTCAAAGCCAGCCTTGGTAGGAAAGTCCTTGAGACTCCTATCTCCAGTTAACCACCAGAAAACCAGAAGTAGCTCTGTCGCTCAAGTGGCAGAGCACTAGGCTTGAGCTGTAGAGCTCAGGGTCAGTGCCCAGGTCCAGAGTTCAAACCCTATGACTGCCAAAAAAAAAAAAAAAAATACAGAAACAAACAAAAAAAATGTTTGGGAGTGACTACTTCAATTTTCTCACTTACTATGAATAAGTGACATGTAACATTTGTAATGACCACTGCATTTGCTATCTTACAAAGATTAGTATAGTTTTATAAAGATTCTAGAAATTCCCTGGGGGTTTATGCCTGTAATCTTAGCTACTTAAGAAGCTGAGGTCTGGGCTGGGAATGTGGGTTAGTGATAGAGTGCTTGTCTAGAATGTTTGAAGCCCTAGGTTTGATTCCTCAGTACGACATAAACAGAAAAAGTTGGAACTGGGTCTGTGGCTCAAGTGGTAGAGTGCTATCCTTGAGCAAAAGAAGCTCAGGGACAGTGCCCTGGCCCTGACTAGCCCCAAGACTAGCTTAAAAAAAAAAAGAAGCTTATGTCTGAAGATTGTGGTTCCAATCCAGTCAGGTCATGAAAGTCTTGTGATACTCTTAACTCCAGTTAACCACCAAAAAGCTGGAAATGGACCTGTGGCTCAAGTGGTAAAATGCCAAGCCTTGAGTCAAAAGCTAAGGGGCAGCACCGAGGCCCTGAGTTTAAGCCAGTACCAGTACACAAAAAATAATTTTGAATAAACCCCTATTCATTTTTTAGGGACACCTAAGTGAGCAAATAAAGACAATACCTTAGCTTTATGCACATTTGGAATTTTGGTGTTAACATCATAGAGAATCTTCATTCTATGTCTTCTGAAAACAAGACTCAGAATACACCTTAGAACTAA